TCTATGCTTATTTAATTGATGTCTATTTTCCCTAGTAAAATATAAGCTCTGCTAAAGCAAGGCCTTTGTCTAAATGTACCCACCACTGAATCTTTAGCACAGTATCTGGCATGCAGCACAGGTGCTCTGTAACTATTTCTTGATTGAGAACACAATAGAGTTCTTTGAGATTTCTTAAGATAAAGACATTACAGCCTTTAACTATAGTATCTCCTATAAGACACACAATGCAATGTATTCATTTAAAACAACTAGAGGGGCGCCTGGGTGGCTCAGTCAGTGGAGCGTCTGACTTCGGATCAGGTCATGATCTCGCAGTTCGTGTGTTCAGGCTCTGTACTGACAGCTCAGAGCCTAGAGCCTCCTTCAGATTCTGTGTCTCTGTCTCTCTCTGTGTCCCTCCCCCACTCATGCTCTGTCACTCTGTCTCTCAAAAATGACTAAATGTTAAAAAAAAAATTTTAAAATAAAACATAACTAGAGAGTTCCCATGTAGCGAAATCATTTTGCAGTCTTGTCTTCTTTTCTTTCATTTTACTTGTGATCCGAACATAGGAGCTTTGATGATGTATGTGAATGGAATCCCATAATAGGAATTTGCTCTCAGATTATACATTGAGATGTAATGTAATTTCTTTTCTTTAATACTATTTTTTTTTTTGCTGCTCGTCAGTATTAATATGGATGCTGTACTCTGATACCAGATAATTCACTATATCTATGCTCATTTTTGGTATATCTCTGTTTTATCTATTCTTTTATTACTATAGATATTAACAAATATTGCATGTCCTATATTATAAGGAAAAAACTCTAAAAGTACTTCTACCTTCATAATAATAAACATGGAAAACTGATCTTCATGGCAAATTCATGTAAATAAGTGAATATTATCTATTTGTAGGTGAAATCATTGTAAAGTGTTGGGATGAGTAATAGGAACATAAAATGATCTGAATCTTTAGAAGAGTGCTAACATAAAGTACCAATGACTGGATGCCTGGGTGGCTCAATGGGTTGAGCATCCAACTCTTGGTTTTGGCTCAGGTCATCATCTCACATTTTGTGGGATCGAGCCCTGCATCAGGCTCCAAGCTGGTAGTTCAGAGCCTGTTTGAGATTCTCTCCCTCCTTCTCTCTCTCTTTGCCCTCCCCCCACTGCCTCTCTCACTCTCTCTCTCTCTCCCTCTCTCTCTCAAATAAAATAAATTTTTAAAAAATAATTTAAAAAAATACTAATGACCGGGACACCTGGGTGGCTCAGTCAGTTAAGCATCCAACATCGGCTCAGGTCATGATATCATGGTTCAAGCCCCGGGTTAGGCTCTGTGCTGACAGCTCAGAGCCTGAAGCCTGCTTCAGATTCTATGTCTCCCTTTCTTTCTGCTCCTCCCCCACTCAGGCTCTCTCTCTGTCTCTCAAAATTAAATAAACATTAAAAATATTTAAAGAAAAAAAAAGGGGGGGCTCCTGGGTGGCTCAGTCGGTTGAGCGTCCGACTTCGGCTCAGGTCATGATCTCACAGTTGGTGAGTTCGAGCCCCATGACGGGCTCTGTGATGACCACTCGGAGTCTGGAGCCTGCTTTGGATTCTGTGTCTCCCTCTCTCTCTGCTCCTCCCCTGCTCACACTCTGTCTCTCTCTCAAAAGTAAAAATAAAGATTAAAAAAAAATTTAATACATGTGTATATTAAAAAAGAAATACTAATGGCCAATGCGAGAGACCAACTCTACAAGAGAGGAAAAGGGATTTTACAAGTGACCTGCATGGATCTCTTACCACAGGTGTCCCTACACATCAGGCCATACCGATACAGCTGAATCGACTCGGGCTGTGACCCTGCCAAAACTATAAAAGGGGATTAGTGAGAGAGAGAGAAGTATCCAGGAGCACATTGTACCACTAAATAATAATGAGGATCTCAACGAAATATCAGAATTTTAGCATGAAAGAAGCTTAAAGCATTATCAAGTGGAAACCCATTATTTTATACATAAGGGAAACCAATATTAGGGTGAAAACAAGCCATGAGTCCAAGGCCACACCCTCAGCTGATGGCAGAACCAGGGCTGAAAACCTGATCTCTTGGTGCACAGCTATTGCCATTGTATTGTGTGGCTTGATCACATCAGTTCCTCAAAATTCTCTAGGAAAAATAATCTGAGCAATAAACTCCAGGTCCAGACCACTTCAGTAACTGTAGAACCCACAGACACGTTTATAATAACAACAGCATGGGTCCAATCTTATTACCCAGCAAAAACTAACATGAACAAGTAACCAGTACCCTCTGTGCTCTTAGCCTTCTCTAAATTTCTCACATGCACGTAAGAACATTAACACAACTTCTTTCCTCAAAAATAACCTCTCTGTGTCACTAAATCTCTTTCCTGAGTTCAAAACACCAATGCAGGCTGGGGCACCCAGGTGGCTCAGCGGGTTGAGCATCCGACTCTCGATTTCAGCCCAGGTCATGATCTCATGGTTTGTGTGTCTGAGCGCCACATCAGGTTCTGTGCCTGCTTGGGATGCTCTTTCCCTCTCTTTCCGCTCCTACTCCACTCACATGCTCCCCCTCTCTCTCCCAAAATAAATAAACTTGAAAACAACAACACCAAAACCACCAATACTGGTTTTTAGGTAACACTTCCATTTATCTATTTCTGGCAACATTCTATCAAATGTGGACACTGACACAGACATCTGTAGTATAATGCTACATCAGTGGTATGTTCGTAAGCCAGCTCTCCGAAAACATAATATACAATTAAAAATCTTATTTCTAGGGCTTATTGGTTCTTCTGATGTAGATATGCCCGTCATGGCTGTCTTCAAGCCACTGAGTCTATAACACATCACACACAGAATTCCTGAATATTTAACAATTGACTCTAATGCACCAAAGGCAGTACCGGCATGCCACTGGAAGTACAGGGACACCTACAGATAGTCAAAGTCAACCTACTCTCTTGTAAGAGGAGACTGAGGCTCAGAGAGTAAATGACTTGCCCCCAGATCACACAGTGGCTGAGTGGGCTTTAATACACAGGATTCTACCTCAGCTACCTTCATAAATTAAGTGAAACTTTCCGTATTAGACATAGTCAGTGGTTTTCATATTATTGAAGAAAGAAGTGCTTCTCAAAAGTAAGCAGCATATGGGGCACCTGGGTGGCTCAGTCGGTTGAGCATCCGACTTCGGCTCAGGTCAGGATCTCGCCATTCAAGGGTTTGAGCCCCGCATTGGGGCTCAGAGCCTGGAGCCTGTTTCAGATTCTGTGTCTCCCTCTCTCTGCCCCTTCCCCGCTCATGCTCTGTCTCTCTCTGTCTCTCATAAATGAATAAACGTTAAAATTTTTAAAAAGAAAAAAAAAAAAGTAAGCAGCATCAACAATGCCAGAGAGACTGTTAGAAATGCATATTTTTAGTCTCCACCCCAGGCCTACGGAATCTTTACCTTTATCTTTATCTGTCTGTGCTTCACTAAACTCTTTGAGTGATAGGGAGCAATGAGAAAAAAATCTTCCTTAAATCCATCAATATTCTTTTTGTAAATGAGATCCCAATAAGAGTCAAAGATAATAGCTATCCCTTTTCCTATCAGCATCCTTTAAGAGATACTTCTGAAGGTTTTAACATAAAGACCACAATCTTTCGCATTTACAGAGTCCTTACTCTTCAAAAGAGTTTAGATTTTTCTAACAACAGGAAAAAGTTGAATTATTTGCCTTCCAATTCTCCACCCCAACCTTTTACTGATCAAAGCCTAACCTACATTTCTATGCCTTAGCCCTAGCACATTCGTTTTGCTTACACAACTCCCTTTAAATATTTATTTGTCAAAGTTTTGCTCCACCCCGTCACAAATCGAGGTAGTCAACAGCAAAACGGCTCTCCCACTGTAATCTACATATTGCTTTGCCAATTGATTATCCAGTTATGTATTTGTGTTTTGGTTTATCAGCCACTTCCTGGTGTTTTGCTATTTGTTCCCAACCTTCGGATCCAGAACAAAGACAAATAAATACCGTCTGCTTTGTTTTCCTCTTCCAATATTTTAGAGGTTGGAAAATTTACAAAATAAATATCCTCTCAACCTTCTTGTAAAAGCATTGCAAAAGAGAAAAAGAAGAATTGAGTAACAGTTTCCCAAATTTAAAAATACCCAGCTAAGGCACACTCAAATGACCAACAGCTGTACTGATATTACTTGAAAAATAATCATACAGCAATCTACAAATACAGGTCCATGAGTTGTAATTCAGTGTCCCTTATTAATTTTATTTGGAGGGCACACATAAATATGTGTATTCTATTTGCACAGAAGACTGTTAATAACCTAAATGTTCGTAGATAATAGATTAACAAAAACACTTTGGAAGGGCATGTTCGTCACTGCCACATTTCCTAGCAAATCCAAAACTACTTGGTGAGTATGGTTCATGGCCTTGGTGGGAAATAGCTTCACTGGATGTGGAAGTGGATGTTTTCAAGGAAACCAAAGTACTAGTTTTATAATTCCCCAATTACCTGGTCCTGGCTGAACTTCTATTTACTGAGAACTGGCCAGAAAAGCTTTGCAACACAGGAGGAGGCAACCATCCTGAAAGCAACTGTTTCTAAATTTTCAAGATTGCCTTCGCTAATACTTGCACCCCCAAAAGCAGCTACCTTTATGAGATTCGTTACTGATCCCACCAGCCACATGGGGTCTGCTTGCTCGTCATCTTTTCGGTCAATACATGCATATGGGCCAGCACTCCCAGGTACATCTGCTCAGGGACCTCCACCCCGCCCCTAACGGAAAGAACACCAGCTCCATTCGTTAACATCAGCTGGACTTAGATCTCAAACTTAAGTCCCATTTGCACGGTGGAGTCTACCTCACTGAGGCACCAATAAAGGGGTGTACTGAGCGCAATACCGAGTCCTGTGTGGACTGAGCCCACGTGAGCCAGCGCGGAGGAGAGGAGCGGCGCGGAGAGCAGAGGGCACTTACGGTTGGCACAGCTTGATTAGGTCCTGGTCAGTGGTGCCTGGAGGAAGGCCTCGAATGTACAGGTTGGTTTTACTCAACTGTTCCCCGCTGCTGTTGCTGCTGCTGTTGTTGCTGCTGCTGTTTGTGCTGGGGCTGGGAGGTGCCATGGGGTGGGGAGCTGGTGCATAGGACTGCTGGAAACAGAAAAGGCTGTTACTGGAAAAACAAAGCCAGCACCTATTCACAGGCCAGCAGCGCAGCCCGAAAGCAATGCAGGCTTCTCGGCCTCTCTGATCCACACATGCACACGCATTTTTATATCACTACCCTGTACGCTTCTGAGAACATCATTCCCCCCACTCTGGCCCTGCACTTGGATCGGCATAAGTTAGCCCTAAATGGGGCAGAAAGAAGTTCCCAGGTGCTCCTGACAGTGGCATATGCCTTCTGAATCAGTCCCCTGTGATTTTCCTTAGAGGTGTAAACTCACACGTTACCTCCCTCCCCACGAGAAGAACGTAGTTTGCTCTTGGCACCAAAGCTCTGCCCCTAGCTCACCTTTAAGGAGCCACACATCTTTGCTTTGTCTCCACTCCTTGTCCCCTCCTCTCCAAAACACAAAACCGAAACCAAACAAACAAAAAACTGCCTCATATTGTTGTCCTCCCCTTCACTCTCCAATATAATTCCTGACACACAGGAATCACTCTATGAATAGCGAATCTAGGAAGGGCCAAACGGACGGATGAATGGACCTCATCCCTTTCTACCACTCCCAAATCTGCTTCTTCATGGCGAACGTCCTGTGTTTTGCGATACTGAGCCGCCATTCTCTCGATGCAGTCAAGATCCCCTTTAGGTTACTCTAGTCGAGGGTCTCAATCCAGGAACTACTGACAACTTGGGATAATTCTTTGCTGTGGGGCCTCTTGTTCATTACACTGTACGTCCTACATTGTTCATTGTAGGATGGTAGCAGTAACCTTGTCCTTTACCCACCAGATTCTAGTAGCAGCCATCCCCTAGTTGTGACAACCAAAATTTCTCCACACACTGCCAAGTGTCCCCGGGGAAAGAACCACTGCTCTCCCCCAGTAGAAAATCACTGCTATAACTTGTCAAACTATTTTATAACAAAATAAAATGATAAAATGATCCCTAGCAACTGAGAATATACAATGTGAATATACGTGCCAGAATTAGTAGACACGGTGCTCATTATATACTTCATTTCTTTGTCAAATGGGCCTATCTTCACAAGTTCTTAAATTACACAGACTGAGTTTGCATTCCTGCTGTGTCTCTTACTGGCTGTGTGACCTTTAGATGGTGCCTTCACCTCTCTAAGACTCAACATTCTCATTAATATGAGGAGGATAAAAATACTACTCTCAGTAGTATGTCACAGGGTCTCTATATAAATTCAATGAGCTAATGTAAACAAAATGGTTCCTGGAAATTAGAAAGTGCAAAATAAATGTTAGCAAAAACAAAAATGCCAGAGTAACAACAATGATAACATTTGTAGCTCATATCTGTCTTGCCAGTAACGTTACGCTATATAACTATCCCAGATATTCTCAGTTGTAACCTAGAATGTTACCTAAAGGTAACACCTATTAAGATTCCAGTGGGGAGATTTTGGGCTGAGTTTTAACCTGAAGACACATTAGCTGTTCTATCAGGGGTGAAGGTGTGTATTTAACAGATGGCAAGTAGATGCTTAAGAAATACTTAGTCTACAACATATACAGTACAAATTGAATGAACACAGCACTTAGCCTACAGTGATAAAAGGCCAAGTTTTAGCAGCACCAGCCTTGTTTCTTGCTATAACTCAGTCTTACACTTTTCAGAATGATCAGATTTGCCCCAGTCCATATTTCCAAGTGGCTACAAGACAATGCCTCTTAGCTACAACATGTCAAATGAAACTCATTATCTCTGCCCTCTCACCTCCGAAGTCCCCACCCCAGACACCCAGCACAATGACCCCATTTCTCTCTGGTGTTGCTGACATCCATCTAGCCCCCATGCTAGAAGCCTTGGGGTCAGCTTCACTTGTTTTTTTAATTCTAAATCTCGAAATACAGTCAGCTACCAAATTTTTGCACAAGTTTCTAGAAGCATCCTTTCCTCTGAATTCTCACTGCCTCCTAGGCTGGGATCTGGTCCACCTTGTGGATCCACCATATCCACCATCTGGCCCATGCTTTCCTCTTAGGGAGGAAAGTGGAGGAAGAATAAGACAGATGGTCAAATGCAAAGGCACACTGGTCTAGAGTATCCTGGGCAGTTCCTTTAAGGAATGGGGAGGTGGGACAGAACCCAGAGCCTCCTTCTTTGAAACAAACATTTCAAGTAAACATTAGGTATTACTTAATCAGCTACCAACATTTTTAATGTGGGATTTTACAACAAATTACACAGGAGAATACTTTCTGTTCCCAATGTTTGAAAAAAATGACATACATCCATTGCCTTTTGGAATTTAATATCTGCATAAAGCTGCATGAAGTTTCTTGGCTGGCATGAAAAACTAGTCCGCCTTGACCTAAGAAATCCATTTCGCTCCGTGGACACCCCATAACACTTAAGCTCTATCTCTTTACATGCCCTGCACTTAGTAGGTTTTAACACATCCCTGCTAAAGTAATGCCCTGGTCCCTGTACCTCCCAATGGGACAGATGAGATTTATCTTTCACTTCCCGCATGTGCTTTATTTTCTTAAATTTCGCAGGGCTTTTTAAAAGCTGTTTGTTACCACTTTCACCTCCCCTCTCTCCAAATTCTTTGAATTCCATTCTGTACTCAGGCTTCTTTTAAAATGAGGCTTTGTTAAAAGCAGTTTTCCCCATGGCATAGCTTTTAAAACTATCAGGGAGCCAAAATAAAATCACATCTTCAGCTTTATGTATCATAGATCTGACGGACCAGCTCAGACTGAGTCCCTGAATGATCAAATAAGAAATTTTCATCTATAGGATGGTCAATATGTGTTTACTTAATTGTCCACCCCCCCCCACCCTCCATAGCCAGAATATCATTTAGTAAATTGCATGGTGCTTAAAACAATAAATGTGCCCTCCAAAGTGCCCAATGTATTTACTAGGAAAAAAAAATGAAACAGTCAAAAGCAAATCAAAGCTGGGACGACTATAGGCTACTTGTATGCATGGAAATGAGGTATATAATTTACAAATAGAGATCCAAACACCAGCCTGTTGTGGAGAAATGATGTATTTCAAAACCCCTTTGAAAAAAATTACACAATCAAAAGGGGTTATCTGTGTCATATTCTTGTTTGTGAATTCTAGAAGTTCTGCTGAGGGGCGCCTGGGTGGCTCTGTCAGTGAAGCATCCACCTTCAGCTCAGGTCATGATCCCACCATCCGTGAGTTCGAGCCCTGCGTCGGGCTCTGTGCTGACAGCTCGGAGCTGGAACCTGCTTCAGGTTCTGTATCTCCCTCTCTCTGACCCTACCCTGTTCATGCTCTGTCTCTCTCTTCTCAAAAATAAATAAACATTAAAAAAAATTTGTTTAGAAGTTCTGCTGAAAGAGGCAGACTTTCTCAGTGTTATTGAACCAATCAATCCAGAGATTTTAAGACGGAATGCCTACATTCTCACTTCTCCTTAATATTTCATTTATCTGCTGATGATATACTGAATGAATCAGGTAGTGGTTTGCGCTGTAAATCATCCTTTGGTTTTAAGAATTATAAATTCCCTCCTCTCCTCCCACTTTGCAAACACACATCTTTTAATCAACAAAACATTGGCAGAAGTCTCCCGGAACGTCTGACAAATGCACAGGCCTAAATGAATTAATTTGTGAAAAGCAAAAGCAATGTTGTGTGCCCTGGTACCAGAGACAAATGACCACACTACAGCATCTTTACAAAAAAAAAAAAAAAAAAAAAAAAAAAAAAAAAAAAAAAAGGAGCAATAATCTTTAGAGGTGAATGGGTCACAGCAACCACTTTCCTAATTAAAAGTGGCTCTGATTCCGTCCTCGATTCTTTGTCTTCAAATCGATTTGGGGTTTTATCATTGATCAGCTTTTAAATCATTTTGAGGCACCCAGGAAGAAATGTTTAAATGTTAGTAAAAAAAAAAGAATTTATTTTCCCTCAGATAAAATGGACTTTGCTATATTGCTCAAAGTCATACTTTATAAATCCTATTTAGGAGCGGTGAGGACTTACAGTCCAGGGTTACTGAACACTGTTACAAGGTGCCGTAGCAGGGCAGGGAGCTGCTATGAATCTGCAGTGTCAGCTTGGTTAGAACCAGTGAAAACGGCAGATTTTCAGAAGAGGACCTTCAGATGGCACTCTGATGGAGGAGGGAGATAGGATCTCTCTTGAACCTGCACACGCTTGGCAAATACGCAGAGTTTCCTCAGGTGTTTATTCATGGTCTGTTGGGACCATTGTCTGCTGGGAGGGTCTGTTAAGTATCATGGGATGGGGGTTGAAAATCTCTAAACCACATGTTGGGGCTCCTACATCAGTGGATCAGTACCCAGTGCTTTCTTTGGGCAACTAAACCAAATGACTTGACATCCATTTTAGAAGATAACGATTCTAATAATTATAGGTAACATTTGTTGCGTGCTTCCTAATAGGCATTGTATATAACTGCCCAATGAGGCAAACAATATTCTTCTCAAACATAAACGAGAAAACCAAAGTGCAAAATGGACAGATGACCTTCTCAAGGTCACACAGTGGGAGCCCCACTTTGACCCTAGAAAGTTGGACTCCAGGGGCCATGCAGCCCCCACCAGCACAACAGAACTTCACCTATTAATGACATGGGCACCAACACAAACGGCTTTTTTGCCATCAGCTTTGGAAAAAGGCACGAACAAAAGCTCTCCTGCATCCAAGTATACGGGGGAGAAATCGAACAAGGATGGTAAACAGCATCTAGTCAAAATGGAGGTTAATAAGGCCTTTCCTCTATCAGAATTTAAATGAAGTCCATCTTAAAATTTAATGTCAAAGGGGAAGTGACCATCAGAAGCAAGCAAGGTGATGAGTTTTTCAAATAACATCAAACAAATGGGTTCCTTGGTCAAGATTCAGGGGATGTTATTTGATAACAGGAAAATGAACCGGCTTGCAAATCATCCTACAACAGCTGATTCATTTAGTGTGCTTTGTTAATATGCATCATTTTTCAAGT